TGTGTGTGTGTGTGTGTGTGTGTGTGTGTGTGTGAAGTAATAGTGTGTCAAAATGGTGCCTTGTATCCAACCCTTGGTCAAATAGTCTTGTGAAAATAAGATTGTTCCTAACCTGTTTAAGATGAATAACCACATCGATCAAATTAGTAACAGTTTACAGAAAAGCATGTGAGCGTGAGTTTAGTACACTGTGTCTGTGACTGACATCTTAACTCTGTGAACAGATCTGATGTGGTTGACTCCATCTGCTACTCCTATGTCATACGCTAAGAAACATTTCACAGTAGTATTTCACCAAGGTCTGGTGTGTGTGGACGCCTCAGGTCTCTGCTTTCTCCTTCTGCTTCTTGCTCTTTTTCAGGAACGACGGTGGCTTGAACTTCTTTTTCTTCTTGGAAGGGGACTTGGAGGGAGAACCATCTGGGGTGCCACCTTGTGGTTTGGCCGGGGGAGCGGCAGGGGTGGAGGAGGTGTCATTGGTCGAGAGGGCCTTCATGCTTTTCTCCAGCTCTTCTGTCGTCTGCTTCTCCTCCTCGCCTCCGTTCTGTATGGCTGGAGATTCAGTCTTCACCTCCTCTGCTCAAAGTATTGTAGAGAGAAAGAAAAGAAAAGCATTTGTCAGATATCAGAGAGAAGGCTTCGAGAGGGGTGGAGCTGCGAAGCCACATGATACACATGTTGCTGCAGATGAACATGCTTGCATAAGGAGAAGTGGGTTGTCATATGGTTTCTCTGTACTTACTAGTGAGACAAGACCAAAGCACCAGAAGTGTGCCCTAAGAATCAGTGTGGAGTAACACAGAAAAGGACAGACAGACACAGAGGGAGAGAGTACAACAGATACAGTAGGTACACAGACGGATGGATTTACTTATAGAGAAAATGTAGAAAGATGTAGAAAATGTAACTCAAACAGTTACAGCCACAGAGATGTAACTTATAACATAAAAAATGGCTGGATTCCATTTGCATGAGTCTGTTTTTCTATTCAGGGGCCCCATCCTTCGGAGGTTGCATGTAAAGACCAATTGCATCACAGCAGCGCGACTAGACTGTCCCATTTTGAAGGCTCCTTCAAATGCGTCTTTTCATCCATGAGAAATGAAAGCTCCAACAGGGGATCATTCACGATAAAGGTGGAACTTGCACGTCTCATTTCGGTTCAGCGGTCAAGGTCTACATTGCTTTCATGGGCCTCCTAGACCTTGTCCTCCGAAGGATGCAGCACACTGGACACAGCTCAGGTGTTGGTCTACACCTGTGCTATGTTAAATGTCTATCATGAGAAAAAAATGTCACACATACCAACTAATCCTGACACTCCATGTTACTCCAGATGATATCTGACATAAATGATCACTGGCACCATCTGAGGTGAGTCACAATGATATCGTTTACATTTTAAAGTCATAACTAAATGTGTTATTTTCACTCTGTTGCTTATTAAGTAAAATGTTGTAAAGAAAAAAATAAAGCAGCCCATCTTTATCTAAAAGGCAATTTTGTGTGACTATACAAAAAGCAACGACTTTATTGCCCAGTTGTCTCTGACTGAACTGAGAGAACTGAACAGTATCAACTGATGAAGAGGAGTATCATGGATGTCAGTGAGTGTGTGAAGCATGAAAGGCAGAAACTCAGGCTGCTGGTCAGATAGCCAGAAAGCGAGGCGAGCAGGGCAGACGGTTATTAGAGCTCTGCCGAGCCTCACCTGAGAGAGGAGGGGGGCTGAGCGGAGGGCCCTTTGTGGGGGAGGCAGCAGGGGAAGACTCCTTGTCATTTGCCACCTCCTCCTCTACTTGCACAAATACACACACAGACACACATGTGAGGGACAGTGAAGGGTCAGCTGTGAAAAGTTAAATTTGTGAGGCAAAAGAGAAGTGAAGACTTTTTACACACAGGAGTCAGAAATGAAACAGAGTTTGCTAAAGGAGCTCTGTGTAGGGCTTTTCCTTTTTTAAATTTTTCTACAGATTTGACTTGTTAAAGGTACAGTGTGTAGAATTTAGTGATATCTAGTGTTGAAGTTGCATGTTGCAGCTGAACACCCCTCACCTCACCCTCCCCTTCCAAACATGAAAAAGAACCTGTGGTAGCTTCAGTTGTCATAAAACTCAAAAGATGTTTAGTTTGTTCACTCTGGACTAATGTAAAAAATATGGCAGCCTCCGTAGAGAGGGTCCCCTCAATGTAAATATAAAGTATTTAAATATAAAGGGCCTTTTCTGGGGTAAAGAAAACTACAATTCATACAATTTAGATGAAACGAACTAGTGAAAACTTCATGAGAATTATTCTACATTAAATTTCTGCCAATAGATCCCTTTCACCTAAATCTTACACACTGGACCTTTAAATCATAAGGATGATCAAAAACCTCTTCGGTTCTCTGTGCTGCTTTATGACACAAACTGAGAGGGGTAAAAGATGGAACAAATTAGATTTCACATTCTACAGTATCAGATAATAATACAAATTGGGGATATTTTTATTTGGAGTTATTTGTTTTTGGAGGAGTTACACAAAGAACCTTTAAGGTGTATAGAAGACAGCACACAATGCTTTACTGGTGAAATTGAGGGAAGGCATATTGAAATAGCTTTATGTCTTTGCTATATAATCAAAAGAATGTGGACACTCCTGTGAGCTTTGAGATTGACAAAAGACAATGGCAGATTCTCCAATGAGTTTATAATCTGAAGGAATACAAGAACGTTGGTTAATTATTAAAATAAGTTTCAAACAGAAATATTACACTTGATGGTTTTCACTTAAAGCCTGTGCACACCTACAGTCCACCTATACAGAGGTTGTCTGTCTGGAGCTCTAATCTAAAGTGGGCATGATTTGACGGACTGCTCCACTCTCCTATAATTTCATAGCTTTGTTTGGAAGGACTGACCTGTCATCATTTTAATCAGTACAAAAGCATTAAATCATTTCTCACCATAGTTCCACAATTTCTCAGCCTGACCAGATCTAATCCGCCAGAGTCATAAAAACTAAAAGCGAATGAGTGCTCAGCAACTTTCAATTACTAATAATATAGAAAAGCATTTTATTTTTCCAGTTTTTTTAAATAATTTGTTGGACTGTTGTTTGTCTTTATTTGATTTTTAAACTACATGCATTTAAAACACTCAACGTTAACTTGCTAACAAACTGGGTTCTACATTGAGCACCACTCTATTCAAAACAGTCCTCATGAGGAAAAAGATGTTTAACTATAACATACTGTATAATATTCAAGTGTCCACATGCTATATGACTATATGACTTTAAACCAAATCTATTTACTCTTCTGACACTACAGTTAGAAATAATAATCTAATAATAATAATCTAGTTCAAAACATAAGAGTTAGCATATCTACAGTCTATACCAGGGAAATTATTGTACTGTTTATGCCGATTGATTAGCACAGAGTGAGTTAGTCATTTCAGCAGCAGCAAGTTGAGTTGAATTGACTTTACCATCAGTCCCTCCGTCCTGTTTCCTCTGCACTTCCTTGCGGTACTCGTCCAGCTCCTGGTCCGTCAGCTGGTTGAAGGGGTTGGGAGGTTCTGGCTCTGGTGGAACTTTGGGTGGGCTGACGGGAGACTAACACACAAGCAGTGACACAAAAGCTTTTAACGTTGCAGTTCAAGAGCAGGAAAACAGATGAGGCGAGCAGAGAGAATTTGCAGTTTACCGGAGGACTGTCCTCTGTTATGACGCTGGCAAGGACTTGAGATTGTGGCCCTGCTGTCTTCATGTCCTGACGGTTCTGCTGTCGGATCTGAGGAGGCAACATTTCATGCAAACATTGTGGATTCATATGAAAGAATACACTAAGGAAAGATCAGATTTGTGCGAGCAGGGGACAGTTACCTTGTTTCGTGTCTCAATCACCTCCTGAGGGTTGGTGAACAGAGGCACAAACAGGTTTGGGTTCTCTGTCTTGATGGACGTGCTGCCAGCTTGTGTCACCTCTTCTGCCTTCAACCACTGAGGGAGAGATGATCAACAGTAAAACAAGATCTCATAATCCACTCAAAATATGAATTAGCCTATGAGCCTATGATATGTAGAGGATCACAGCTGTTGCAAAGGTAAACAACACTTCTGTGCTTAAAGTTTATGTGAAGCAGATTGAACCTATGGTTTATATTTGGCCACCAGATGGCAGGCTCTTCACTGCAGTGGTCTTTTTGACACAGTGTTTTCCCTGCAATGCAGAGATGAGAGAGAGGGGCCAGTGGGAGGGACAGAGGAGGAGAGACAACAGAGAGGGAGAGCCAAACTCCTCCCACTGATGTTAGCCAATCAGACTCCCATTGTCTTTCTCGCTGGAGGACTAATCACTCTTTCCAAATGCATTGAAATAAAACAAATGCTCCTTCATCTTCATCAACCTCCATTTGAATAGGTTTAGCTTCGATACAGAAATACTCTCGGTAAAATCACCATGTGTCTTCCTCCTCTGAGTAGCAGTCAACAGACCTCAGCAAGCTTCCACCACTTTCTCGCTTCTCTCCTCGCAGCTTATATTCATCTCATTTCTGGTTCTCTACTTCTACATAAAGTCCACTTATCTCTCATGAGTAAGCTGCTCTCAGACTTGCAATGACCTCCCCACATTATTCAGAATTTATCCTGAGAAGCTCTATGTAAATTTTCCTGCAAGCCACCTAGTAAAATTTCCGCAAAATGTGCAAGTGAGCCCATGAGAATACAGCAGGAAAATGTCAAAGGGAATAAGTGGTGAGGGTTCCTACATGTGACAGACAGAAAGCCGAAAAAACAAAAGAATACAAATATCTCAGGATAAACGGTATCATACATGTAGAGGGCATGTCAACATGCAAAGACAATGAGATTTGAGAGGTTTTGGTGATAAAGACCGATACCAGTGTGCATGTGCTGCAAACTAAAACTTGATCATGTTCTGCCTCCTGCATGCTCTACCTAGGCTCCACCCCTTGCCTGAATGTTCCTGTTGCTGTGAACATGTCTGACTCAGACAATCTCCTGCTGCGTTCTGCATTGTGGATGTTTTTAAATGTACTTTATAAATAAACGGATTTGATATGTGAAGGGCAAACTCCAGACAATGTCCAGTCCCACATTTTCCGAGGTTCATGTCTAAAAACGGCCTTAGAGTGGGAAACACTACGACAACTCTTTGGTCACAATGGCCACAATGAACCAAAGTCTACACAATATTGCAGATGTTGCAATGAACACTTATTTTTTGGATTCCATTTGGGAAAATCACAATTACTTTTACATATGTGGTTTGCAACTTAATTTTAGACAGTTCTTAAACTCCTATAGTGTGGCCTATGTAATAAATCTCCAGGAGCCTCACAGTGGCGCGCTGGTGTCCAGGACTAGTTTGCTCTTGGTTGACTTTTTGGTAGGTGTTGGGGGTGTTGAGCCATCGGGTCCTCTCCTGCTGCTGGCGCTGTGCAAAAGGGTTCTGCCTCAGAGCTGGGTGGACTCCATCGTCATCAAACTGGTGATAGGCTGTGACGGTCGCAGGCACCTCCACCTCCCTCCGCATCCGTGATCGCTCCAGCAGGACGGGGAAACGGTACGCGTAGCCGGTACGGTAGCCCTAAAGACAGACAGAGGTGTTGAGACACAGTAGGAAACATCATCCATCTCTCTCTCTCTCTCTCTGATGGACAGAACATAGCTACTTTACTGGATCACAGTGGTATGCTGTGCTGACAGGCATAACCAGCATCAACACAGCATTACAGCAATTTATTCTATTTTTCCTCAACAAGCTGTGTATTACACTATATATCTGTGATATCTGCAACTGCAAAAGAAGCAATATTGTCTTGCTGAGGTCAGCTTCCACTCGCTTCTGTGTTCAGTGCATTGTAGAACAAATTTCTATGGTTTGCCCTTTCATTTCACAGAACAACTGCATCAAGATACATTTGCTGTTGAGTCACTGCTGATGCAATCTGAACATAAGATGATGCCACTCCTTCACATAAAAGCTTTCCATCTGCAACCACAAGAAGGCTTGTATGCTTTTATTGTGCAAAGCTACAGGAAATGACTGTAATCACATGATATACAGTAGGATTGATGGTAAATTCCTTTCATAAGTATCTTAAGAGAAAAAAACATTTGGAAAAAAAGAAATATGCTGTCAAAAAAAGTTCTCAATCTCACACCTTCAGTAGTAGACAAAAATAAGTGCAACCTTAATTTGAAAAGCAAAATGTCAGTTGTACACTGAATCAAAGCAGAGATTGAGATTGAAGCTTGTGAAATATGCTATGCATGTGTTCCTTTGTTATTGGTGGAGAGACATGAAAGGAACAGAAGTCATACGTTAATCAGAATCCAGAGATCATTTAACATTTATATATTATATATCATACAAATACAGGTTTTTCATGATTATTGAGCTGCATTTTTATTTCATCATTTCTCCCTGGAAGTGCATTTTATAATTATTTCTTACTTGGGTCTATCTGGTAATTAAGCGCATACACTCTTTTAAACATGTGACCATAGGAACCTGTATTACTTTAACTGTTTCTGTTGAAAATTATAAAATGAGTGAACCCTTACTAATGACTAAAAAAGGATGTTAAGAAGAAAGTGCTGTAGCCTCACACTTCGACTGATTCTAAATGATTTTGTGCACAGCTAGTTCTGTAAGACTTCATTAAGCTGTAAAGAAAATGATTAAATTCTACTATGGAAATTAATAGGTTAAAGCTAATGTTTGAGATGGTCTGAAGTATGAAGAATAAGAGAAGAATTACCAAATGAGGCATGATTAGATAACATCATGACATCTTGATCGAACACACGCGTGTATCCTGTGTTCTGTGTGTATTGTAGGGTAAGTAACCATGCAATCTTTTTAATTCTAGCAAATCTTGACAAAAATCCTTTATGCTCTAGCCTCAATCACCACTGTGAACATGTGTCTCTTCGGTGTAACTGTTTCCTACCAGGTTATCCATAGTTCTCATGAGGGCCTCAAACTCATGCTCCCCAACACGGCTCTTGTGCAGGGGCCCAAAGGTGGAGCCAGCCCAGCCCACGGTGCCGGTCGGGTTGGGTTTATGGATGGTCCGATCCAGCAAAATCAGGTTCTGTTCACCACCTGCGCAACACAACGCTGACACCTGGAATACAAAAAACTGATTTAGAACAAGTTGCATCTTTTCATCTTTTTTTACTCAATCATGATGAGTGTACAGTCACATCCCTGCCTGTCTACAGGCCACTGTTGGTCCTGTAAAATGACTGCAGTGTCTGTTTGGCAGACAACACCCCTGTAGTGGATAATACTGCAGTGCAGAGCTGCTGGCTGTCTATAGTGAGAAGGACAACTGCCCAGGTGTAACACTGGAGCATCTATATTGTGTACACATGCCAGCTCATTCTCCTACTCACACATACACACACATACACAAATGCAGTGGCAGCACTTTGTCTCCTGTATGATAGCGTGTGTGCATGTGTGTGTGTGTGTGCATGTGTGTGTGCGTGTGTGTGTATGTGTGTGTATGTGTGTGTGTGTGTGTGTTTGTGTGCGTTAGACCTGGATCTGGCAGGCAGCCTGGATGTGGTAGATGGTGTAGAAAGCCTCCTCCATGGACTCCCCAAGAGCCACTATGCCGTGATTCCTCAGCACCAGAACCTGGGACACACAAAACATCAATGTTATTATGAGAATACCTGGTGAGCAGCATAACGGGCCTCAATAATTAATCCAGTGTGAGGAAACATCACCTTATGTCTTGTATCTAGACCTCTGAGTACTTAAAGCTCAAACATCCCTTGTGGGAAGCACAGGGGCAGTAACTGTTGAATGAGGTGATGATGTACAAGTATCATATTACTGGTTCTGTTTCCTGTGCACTGCTCACTTTACAGGTGGGTCCCAAGCTCTTCTGCAGCTCCACTCTGTCCTCCTCCTCGTCCATGACTCCATTGTAATCATAGTAGGCCACGTCACCAACCAGCAGAGACTCATGGGACAGTGGCAGGAGGCCGCACTTCATAGATGAAACCTGAAGATAATTATTTGTCAGTTGTGGCAGCAAAGATCATGAAAGAGAGTCAAATATTCTGAATGTTGAGGGTACAATCTATTTTACAAGCAAACCCACGCTGAACAAATGTTATCAGACTCAAGCAGCACAAGATGATAGTGGAATTGTTAGAGCTTTTACACTGTAACAATGATTTTCTATGCTTAGGGTGTGTATGACCAGTCTGCCATGGCTTCCTGCAGCACTGTCTTCTCTAAACAAAACAGGACAGAGCTGTGAACTAGTGCCAGCCTCTCTCTCCTGGTTTCAGCTCAGACTGACTCACCGCTGCCGTGGCCGGCGTGTGGATGTGAAGAAGACAGCGAACATCTGGCCGCGCTGAGTAGATGGCCGAGTGCAGACTGAACTTCTCTGGGTCCACACCCAGGTTGGTGCTGCCCCTCTCCACCACCTCGCCCAGGATATTCACCTTTACCTGTGAAAGCATGTGACAACTGCACCAAAATCTCCATGTTTGGGAATCAAAGTCATTTTAAGTTCTATAACATGCTTAAGCCAGAGAAATTTTAAAAATACGCATGAATGCTGTACAATATTTCTTGGATTTCATTTAACTGGTTTTAAATGTTGTCTTTGATTGTAAAGTAGATATAGATTTAAACTCAATGAACCATTTAACTTAAAAAAAAGATTACCAATAATGCAAAACATAATAAAAAAATATTATATTTACTTTATTTATATAGCAAATTCAGAAAATTGTAAATATGACTAGACATTTGCAGTATTTCTTATTAATAATATAATGAAACACGATTATACTATATGTGCATTATATCTATAAATTTGAAGGGCTGAGTTCAGTTTTATGTTTTGTGTGCGACCTTAATCCTAATGATGGTAAATCTGACTCACCAGACTGGATCCAGTCACCTCACTGTACGCCAAGCCGTCTGGAAGCACCAGGAAGTGTTCCTGTTCTTTACTGACACGGAGCTGCCGGGGGGGGGGAAACAACACAGGTAAAGACAGAAGATGGCGACACTGCAGACCATCATGCTACTGTGGGAAATCCATTCAGATATTTTTCCATTTGCACAGCAAAAAAGCTATCATCATCTGCTCAAAGATATCAGGCATCTTCCTAAGCATGTTAGTGCTGCACTTTTCTTCTGCAACTACTCTTTATATATTCTGAGTGACATCATTCTGATCATGTCATATACAAAATAATGGGTTTGACTGAAGTCAGTTTCTGTCTGTTTAGTAAATATGTGTTGAGAAAAAACAACATAATGTTTGAATTTTGATGTAAAAAGAAAGTGAAACTAACAGTGAGACAGTTGTGGCTGATCTGGGCCCAGCCATAGAGGTCGAACAGGCGATGGGTGCTGGCCAGCTTGCAGCGCATCAACCTCTCCCCCTTCACCATGCTGCCGGGCTCCCACCCATGCAGGTCATTGATGGCTGTCACCATCATCATGTCTGTGTGGTGAGAGACAGATAGAAAACCAGACAGAGACAGAGATAGAGCGGAGTGAGGGTGATGGTCTGCAGACAACAAATGTAGGTAGGAGAGTGGTTGATTGATTTTTTTAAATGTGACCATTTCAACATACATGAATAATGTAAATCTATTCTGCCATTGTTTTTCTTGCTGCTTTGATTTTACATGTTTTACAATCACTGTTTATTTGATGTGTGAACAAGTGATTGAGCCAAACTGATATGGATTTTCGGGGGCATTAACATAAACCATGATACTGACATGTCTGTGAAAGCCTCATATCAGACGATTCTTATTATTGGCCAACTGACAAATCGGTTTATGAGTATCCATGACAAGGAACCTTTACCTCTACAGTACGTCATCCGTGCTCAGGATACCTCCCTGCATAGGCAGGGCACTTACATCTTGACCATTATTATCAGTACATGGTTTAAAGTGACACTACACAATCCCCTGAACTTCAACCTGAGCTAAGTTCTTACCGTCTTCAGCAAACCCCTGTGTAGATCTGTAAGGTTTTTAACCCCAATTCACAATAGACCAACTGCACAAATGCATTTCCTGTTTTTGAATGTACACATTTAAATCAGCAATTTTAGCAGCACAGCATACAAGCCTTTCCCACAGTATTTCCACTTCTTACAGAAGGAAAATAAGTTTGGAACTAATTTATAATGAAAGTGAAATAGGGTAGAAACACGACAAAAAGGCCAACCCGCCAGGGACCCAAACATCACCACAGGGTCTGCCACGCCTGTGGGCAGATCAATCACTCATCAGTCCAACTGTATCTTTACCGCTGCTTCCACTGTTGTTGTTTAGTCAGTGATTAAGCTACTTTTTTTAGTGTATTTAATGAAGAATGTTGAAAAAAATAATGGTTTAAATGTATATTTATTTTTAAAAGTGCAGCTGAACTGGTTTCATTCTTAAATTTAAACTTGCCCCTGTGAACTGCCTGCCCAGGGTGATTCACTACTTCTCCTAAAAACGTTTCCAACCTAAATCTGTGTCGGGCAAGAGTGAAACATCACTGACCAACCAAACAAATTCAGTGACTTTGAGGATGGAAGCTATTGTTTTATTGTCAGTAGATATAAAATCAATAAACCCAGACTGACAGCGGATTAAAAAACTATGGATCCAGTGTTACCAATTAAATATTAATGGTACAAGTATCTGCAAGCACCAAACACACAATAAATCTGTCAATTAAAATGTTCACAAGTTGATTAAGTCGAATCTGGGAACACATCTGGGTTGCTGGGAAGTTATCAAGGAAAACACCCACTGGGCGAACATATGGCCATTCAGGCAAACAATCATTGTTACAACACAACACTTATAGACACGCTGGAGAAAATATTGGAAAACCAGGGCTAATAATGGTATTTTTAAACTACTGACAGTATAAGAATGGAAAACTCCATCTTTCTCACATCGACGTCTTGATGAGAGTTCTGGATTGGAGCTGAAGACTACAATGATAGATTGAGTATAATCAAAGGTTTCACATACTGGAGGGAGAGACTGGCAGAGCAGCTGGAGAGCCATGTGAGGCCATGAAATCAGCGAGCTGTCTCAGTGCCCACAGGTTGGATGAGCTGCCACCCTTCTTCATCTGTTCCTGGATCAGGACATCCAACTCCTCCCTGAACGACTACACCCACAAACACACAGACATTAATGTGTTATACATATAACACATAACACAAATAATTTCAATTTGATTATAACATTCAATCAAAGCTTCTCTACGTATATTTGGAAAAGCCTTGATAGTCTCGTTTTCTAAGAACAAAAACTCGCATCTTAAGAAAAATTTGAAAGATGCTTTAAGCATGAAAATTCACAGGGCTTTGAACACATGCACTGATTCATAAACACTCCTACACTACAGAGGTGAGTAAACATATTTAATGAGCCAGCCTCTCTCCATAGGACCTTTCCCTTTATGGTCTCCACAGCTTTAGAGTCATATGGCCTCACTTACATACAGAAAGACACACAGTCATGCACTCAGAATGGAGACCAGCACTGACTGCAGCGCAGGCTTGTCAAATAGAATTTGAGAACAGATTTACTCTGATGGAAGATAATCACATCTATAGAGGAGGAAGAGGAAGAGGAGGAGACAGAGACAGAGACAGATAAGTATTAAAGAAATGGACAGTAAATTAGCGATCTCACCGGACTCTGCAGGAGGCTGGAGATGCGTTTCTTATGCTGGGGTCCTGAACCTGGTGTGGAATGCTGAGGAGACAGGAGACTGTCTGGGACCCCATCGCTGGGGCTGCGCTGCACCGGGGTGCCCTTGGGGGTGGGGGACTTACTCATCTTCTACTGTTATGCAGAGGGTGTGTTACAACGAGGTGTGAGCGGGAAGGACTGCAAAGAAAGTGTGAAAAATTATAAACTTAAACAGCACTTAAAAGTCCAGTGTTTAAGATTTAGGTGAAAGAGAACTATTGGCAGAAATTTAATGTAGAATAATTGTCATGATGTTTTAACTAGTTCGTTTCATCTAAATTGTATGAATTGTAGTTTTCTTAAAAGGCCCTTTATGTTCAAATACTTTATATTTACATCGAGGGGACCCTCTCTACAGAGGCCGCTATGTTTTTTACATTAGTCCAGACTGGACAAGCTAAACACCTTTTGAGTTTTTATGACAACTGAAGCTACCACAGGTTCTTTTTCATGTGTTCAGCTGCAATATGCAATTTCAACACTAGATATTACAAAATTCTACACACTGTACCTTTAATTAGAGCAGTGTTTACAAACAAAACAAAATGACAAACAAAATGGTGAAAAAAACTACAGCTGACATTAAGAAAAAAAGCTCTTTTCACTTTCTTTCCAGGAGTTAGATGAGAAGATCAATACCACTCTCACATCTGTCCATTAAATATGAAGCTACAGCCAGGAAGTGGTTTGCTTAGCTCAGCAGAAAGACTAGAAACAAGGAGAAACATTGTGTCCAGAGGTAACAAAATCCACGAGCAGAACCTTTAAAGTGCACTGTTTCCCTTTGTCATTTGTGTAATTTGTACAAAAACTTCCACTTCTTAACTGTCCAATGGTTGATTGGCTGATTTTGTTTTCCGTTTTTGGACAGAACTGCTGGCAGTACCTTCATATGTGTCATACATAGATTTCAGGCATAGTTTCTAAAGACGGACATCATGACCACTCCACAAAAGATAAGCCAAATCATCTTGATCTCCCCCTGGTGACTGGTGACTCATGAACCTTGCCTCCTCCATGTTAGTAGAGGAGTTTGACCCCTGTACCATACATAGGTCAAACTCTTTAAATCTATGTGATTTTAGGTATTTGTACTAATGTATGTCCAATTGTTGAATTGAATTAGGGTTAGGACAAATTAATACTGAGTCATAAAGTGCTGATATGTTTACAACCAGTCCCTTTTTATATCTCTTTGAATAAAGCAAGAAAGAATCTGAGCTGTTCCAGCATCAGACCAGCACAGATCATCGAACATCCAGATTTTTCAAACCTGACCTCAACTAATCTGGAGTTTTTTAAGAAACAAGGCACGGCTATAGGTTTGCTTGCAAAACTTAAATTCTCTACTTTTCATGACACGCTTCACAGCAGCAAGTGACAACAGTGGCTCCAGAACCCCAGATAACCTCTATAGAACAAGTATGGCAGGCAGGTGAACTGAAGCCAGCATTCAGATTATAATACAGTGTATGCAGTAAATATGATTAAGTACTTGACAAGATACTAATGAGAGTCAATTTCAAGTGTAAAACAGAGTAAAATCAGCTTGAGAATAGTCTGGAAATCAACTCAAAGGCAGTATAAGACATAAATTACACAATCTGATTTATTAGAATAACATAACAAGTTGTGGCAACAGAGGTGGCTGTAACATAAGGCAGGATATTCAGACAGAATAAGTATAAAGGTGCTCAAGTTCAACAACAAAACAATCAAATCTACTCATGATACATATGACAAAAAACTAATCTATGACAATAAGTTTGAAGAAGTTGTAAGTGCATGTGCAAGTGAGAATATTTTCCTGGATGAGGGAGTCATCATCCCAGAGGAAGCTTAAAACTCCAAGAAGATCAAATATCAAATAACAATTGTCAGTTCAATAAATATACTCACTTATGTAAAACTAAATCCCAAGCCAAGCCTTTTGCATCATGCATTAACATAAAACTGAGTTTCCTATTGGCTAGTACACAAATAAACAGTATATTAGACAGCACAATATTCCTCGATTCCCTTGCTTTTTCAAATGGCAGCATTGAAATGAAAAACCATACCCTCACATAAAAGATGCTGGATTCCTCAGGGCACTGGCCGCAGGAAAAGCAAAGCTACAGACGATGCAGCATTAGCAGTAAAAGCTCACTTGCACACAGCAGCACCAGAACCACTAACAGGAAGTTAGCTGGTGATACGACTCGGTAATTGGAGATAGCGTAAAGAGTTACCGTAAGGATCTTCAGAGGAGAGCAGGCCACTCCCCAAATGAAACAGCGTGCGCACACAAACACACACACACACACACACACACACACACACACACACACACACACACACGATGCTGCAGGGAGCAGATTAGGCACCAAACACACCACACCCTCCCTCCTGTGCCACATCTGATTAACTGACCCTATAACTTACTTACTCATAGTTGTATCACTGTTAACATATCGAATGTGGATCCCTGATCACATGCAATCGTCAAATCTCAGGATTTTTTAAAGATGCTCACCCAATGACACAGGATCCATGAGCTATTAACTAAACAATGAATGAAACGTCAGCCTTCCTTGGACTCAGAAGCACTGACACATTAAATTAGTTATCCATAAACATCAGTGTTGCCCTAAAGGATTAACTGAGCTCTGCAAACATACGCTCTCATACAGTATAAGCATTAAGTTGTTAGCAAGACGAGCAGCTCTCTGACAGCCCTGTACAGCTAACTACTGAATCTGCATTACTTACTTTTACAATGGATGATGTTTCTTTAAATGTTTTGAGCTAATAACATGCATTCCTTTGTAATTGTTGTAGGATGTATTTAAACACATCACTTATTTTAAGCAGCCATGAGTCTCTTTCTCCCTCTCACAATGGAGGGGGGTTCACATTATGAGACTCTCTCTCTCTGGGGGTGGAGGGAGCCCAGCTGCTGACAGGCAGCCGACAGAAAGCTACCTCTCCAGGGAGGCTCCTAATGACTGAGGGGAGACATGGAGATCTGGCTCCTGGCGCTCCATTGCTGCTCCCTCTAATCCTTGGTCACACTGTGATGGCTGAGCGTGCTCATTCACTGACATTCTTACCACTTCCTTACTTCTGAAATCAACAGTACAATCTACTTCAATAGTTTAGTACTTTAAAAAACTTTATATAAAGCTATCTGTAGTCATTCACCTGGACACATGAAGAATTGAAGGAAATGTATTACTGCCATGGTTGAATGGTGAATATATACGATAAGCTTCACTGTGAACTAAGCCACCAGCTTTCAAAACACTTATCGATGCACAGAACCTCGAATTTTATGATTCAACGTAATGCATAAAATTGCATATATATTGCATATATACATATATATTATACATACTTTTGCTCATTATCAATACCATATAATCCAAACTGACAAAGTGAATTGAATAGCAATCACAGCTTCAAGTCTTCCAGGCAAAGTCTCTACATTCATACACCTCGATGTGAGCAGTTTATCAGAACATCAAGCACTGTCAGACTGGAGTGAATCTGACTGACATCTTTCTCTCATGGTCCTTTCAATGTCTGGCAAACTAACCAGCCAGTCATTTGCCTTTTTGTCAAAGTGGCCTCAGTCTCGCCACTTTACCATAAATGACTGATTAATAGACTGCTCATTATTGGTCAAGTTTAGATTGATGGACAAAGAAAAAAGCAATAACATCCGTTTAAAATTAAACCTTCAACACAATTAACTGTGGCAAAAGTGAAGTGCGTCAGATTTTTTGCTGAAGCAACTGCACGTTTGTATTGATTGCTGTAAATCTACCCACTTGCACTGGTTTTAAGAGGACTGTGTCAGACACCCGGCAGCAGCGAGGCAGATACTGTTGTAATTACCCAAGTAACTCTGGATTGATTTTCTTTGGCTTCGCTTTCATGAGGTTTCAGTCATAATGGCTGGTCAGCAGATCCTGACCAGTTATGGGACTAGTTCTTTTTACCTTGTCTCACAGTCAAAATATTCAAAATAAGATTAAGCAAATGTTTGTGGGTAAAACCAATGTACACATTTTATACAATATGCAAGTTATATACTTTTCCAGATCTTTAACTGCATCCTTTGATTGTATGAGCGGAAATTAGCATGTTTTTCATTTGTTTAATTAATGTAACTCATTGTGTTTCACTTAATTTTATGGTATAAAAAAACCTCTTTAAACCTTTAGTAGCTGTCATATATAGTTAGCATGAAGATGAATGAATCAGTTCACAATAATCAGTTATTCAGCCATTATTACTTCTGAATCAGTATAACTAAAAAACTCAACATCATTTGCTCTAATACACAGCTCTCCGCCTAATATACCTGACCAGCGACAACTGTTTGTTCTTTTTGTGTCTGGCAACTGCTGTACATCTGCACGACACAAAACTAATCTTTTTACTGAACTAAAATGACCATGGCCTCTTTATATACCATAACATACAGGGCAACATTGCTGTATTCAATCCTCATATAAATGCAAACATTAACTGTAAAAAATGATTGATACAGTGCGCTATGGAAAGGAAGCACACATAAATGAACAGGCATTAATGTATGTCAAATGAAGTGTAATAAACTGCAGCAGCACGTTTGCTGGAAGCTCAGAATACCACACTGAATGAATATAGAAAAAGAAGCATAAAATGGAGAAGTGATGAGTCACTTGTAGTCAAGGGATTTTTAAAGTCAATGCCATTTCATAATCTACAGTATAAGATTGTATTATTATCCTTAATGTGACAGAAACTGCCAAAATTAGTGAACAAAAACTAACAAACATTCGACAGCGTAAGCTAATTGAATGGTCAGTGCTAGAAAATCCTGTCATTTTCTTGAACAAGCTCTATACTGCTTTGTATTTAATTAGTTTGCAAAACTAAATATTTCTGGTATGGGATAATAAATAACTTATCTTTTCTAAGACACAGAGTAACATATAAGTTTAATGGAACCAACTACGTCATGGTATTAGGAATGCCCCCTTCGTTGAAACCTTTAAATCAAGATTGAAAACTTTTTCATTAATATTAAATAAGTGCCTCTAGCTAAACTATATTACAAAACTAGCCATACCATCATTGCATTATATTTTTTTAAGACATTCTATCTATTTTATTTGTGTTATTTCACTCCCTCAACATATATTGTTTTTAGCAATATAATTATTTATATAGCTTTATCCTCCTGTATTTAACATAGTGCTGCCCATCTTTTATTCTGCTCTGATTAATCTCATTATGCTTGAAAATAGTTTTCAACTTTGTCCTTGTACAGCACCTTGACTCTATCTCTGTGCATAAATTAATAAATAAATAAAACCGCCTTGGCTTCTATTGAGAGACTTTACCATCAACAACTTGTTCATTACTGTGGCTGAGATCATTCTGGGTTCAATGTCAGCCATTGTGTTCTGAGAGATTAAAAATAAATAAATAAAACATCTCCACCCGCCTCTCCTGTGTCACGTGGAGGATGGGGAGAAGCGCTCTATAGATCAGATACAGTCATGAGTGCAGCACACAACGCAGCATTTACAGGCTCATATTTCAACTTGATGGCACAATATCGTTTTATGGGTTTGCTTTTTCAGCATCCTCCGTTCCCTCACCGGACAGACGCCCGCTCTAAGCATGGCTGCCTAGCAACACTCACATGCGCTGCAGCATCAGCACCACGATCCGCTAATGGCCACCCGCAGAATGCAGAGGCCAGCGGGGACGGCGCTGCACGACGCGCATTCACAACCGCCACGTTTCCCAATCAATCTAAACGTCTGATAATATCATGCATATCACAAACTGTCTTTACCGAGCGAGTAACGAGAAACAGACATCAGTGGCACGATAATGGGCGAGATCAGTCCGTGCACGGAGGGAGCACCGTGGAGCCACTGCCACAACACGAGCAGCCTCTGAGGACGCGAGCTGCACAGATGAGCTCCTGCAAGAACCAGGCCTCCATCTGCACAACACCGCGACATGCTCCAGGGTTTATGGACTGAACCCCGTGCACGGGCTAAATGTGCAATCTTATTCTTACACTCACATGCATGTATTTTTTTTTTTGTTGGGGGGGGGGGGCACCGTGGGACCGACAACAACACGGTCAATAGCAGTAAGCAAAGCATCGTGCCATCGTCAGGGAAAAGCACAGACACAGTTTATCTCATGCACACGTCAGGAAGGACCCCGCACTACGCCCAGTCATCTAACCTTGGTTACCTTGTTCGACACGACCGGACAGAGACGAGCAGACACGGTACTCACCTCAGTGCATCCTCGGGAGCGCGTCCTGTGTGTGGGTGCGGCACACCCACAGCCCGGAGCCGTCCTCAGCTCCAGCAGATGTGGTTAATCACCAGTGTGACAGATTTGGGCTTCGGCTCCTTTGTCAGACGATTTCAGGGCCTCAGCTGATTCCAACGGAGCCTGCTGCTGTTCATCATCGCTCTCTGCGGCTGGACCAGCCCACTGCCACGCCTGTCCCCAGCCTGACACCCCGAGGGTTCCCACTCACACAGCCACAGTGGGCACCAGTGTTAGCGATGCTGGTGTGTTGCTGTGGAGGGTTTCTATGTGCTGTGCCCTCAAACGTTGTTGAGTTGGGTAAAGGCCCAACACAGAGCAAAACTATCTCAGTCAAAGAGGCGCCACCGTCTGTTGTAATAAAAAAGAGCCGAACACAGGAGCAGGGATGTGCACAGACATTTTGAGGGGTTGCTTTAACCTGACAAAAAGGGCAACCCCCCCCCCCCCCCCAAGTGCAACATTAGTGCAGATAGGATGCAGATTCCTGTCAACCGAAGCAGTGATATGATTTTGCATCTTGAGCTTAACACTGTCATCTATCCGATGATATCATTTAAAGCAAACATTATAAAATAAGATTTTGCTCATTCAGACTCCCATTCACAATGAAAACCTCAAAGACAGTCACAATAGGAAATCACTTTGCCTTACTTCTGAAATGTGATATGACGGGATGATGTAATAATTTTGTCAAACTTCATTTATTTGACTCCTCATAGTCATGCAGCCAAAATAATTTTAAAAAAGTTCCTCCAGAGGTGCAGCTCGTTCAAAGAGGGCAGTTGCCTAAGTGACTTTAGCCCCATGCTGTGCACGTTCATCCTATGGAGGACGGTGCCTTGGAATAAGATATTTCAATGAGATACATGGTTACAAAGCCATTTTATTAAAGTTGAAGATATTGATATTCACCAAACATAAACTTGGTACAATGCAAATGTATCATATTTTAAACATACTAAGCATAAAACATAAAACACTTCTAAATAGAAATGAGAAAAAAAATGAAGCCGTTTTGTAAATGTTTCTAAAGGCTTCCACATATACAGTTTGTAAAATTAAAATAAAAACATATTTATACATATATACATATTCTCAAACAAAATTTAAAGTTCAAAAGTTAACATAAATAAAACAAATAAAAAAATTTCTTCTGGAAAAATCCTTTCTTCAAAGCAAAAGGCCCCTAAATAAACAAGATTATAGTTAATTCATCTCTCACTTCTTTCAACACAAATACTACATCCATAAAAAATATTGTATCTGAAGAGGAATGACGCATTTGAGGGCAAATATCTGAATCCCACTCATTGCATAGCGCTATCATTCACTATTTTGTTTCCCAATTATGATTTTGAAAACTATGCTCTATATAATGAAAAATTGTATTGCTACTTCTTATTAAATGAATTGAACTAAAAAGAATGATTGATGTGTGAACTTCATTAACTCACTGGGACTTGCAAGGAGGTTCACATTAGGATTTGTCTACAGGTGATAACCTCTACAGGCTCCTCTCAGAAACTGAGTGAGTATCTAAAAGTTAAATGATGCTACAAAGCAGAAGATGCTATGAGAATGTCACAAAATGATTCCAACTATGCAAACATGACATTAAAATTTTGAAACTAAGAACTAAACTAGGTTGCATACTGACTTTTGAACATGGCACAATTACGGTTTCAATTCTGTTTTTAGTTCATAAAAAAAACATTTGTCTCTGCAGATTTTATCAACTTATTTCACTTCAAACCAACAAAACATGTAATTTCCCTGAGTGTGCACAAAGTGCATTAAACTGTGGCATGTGCACTACTGTACCTCCATATGATGACCTGATACTGGTGTGTTGCTATGACCTCAGTGTTGTAGTTCAGGTTGTATGTGCAACATTGTACACAACTGATCACACCTGACAGTTATACTGGGTGACACAGACTTGAAAAATTCATCCAGAAGAGGGCGCTGTAACTGCATTTCAAATCTTTTCCATGGTGCTCCAGTGTTATTCAGCTAATGTGAACTTCAGCAGAATACTGATCAAATAGTATCTGTCAGTGTAGTGATGTTGGCAGGGACAAACCAGAATTTAACACTTAACTAGCTAAATACAATTCAATCATGAATCGGTTAATTAACATATAAACATGTATTCTAGTTTGAAATTTGAATGAAATATCTCCAGTGAATGGACACAAAACTAAAGATATATATATATACAGATATTCTAATTTACAGAGGGACAGGGATTGCTCATAACAATAATAATCTAACGTAGTTTTCTAAAAGTCATGACTATGAGGGTGAGCCAAGATGCACAATACCAGGACCTTGTAACTGAAGCAGCTGAATGGAATTCAGTCTTTGTAATTATTGACACATGCAACAGTTGTTCACTGTCAAATAAACTTCTATTAGTTGCTTAGTGTCCTGTTTTGTGCCAATTTTCACTTAAATTGCAGTCCACAAGGGAGCAACATAATACTACTCTTGGTCTAATGGTTACATTTATATCCAGTACAATTATTACAACTAAATTAATTTACTTACAAACACTTCATTATAACAATTAAAAGCAAATAAAAATAACAGTATTGATATTGCAACCCTGATGATCACAGTGTCCGTACTGAAAAGTAGAAGTGGAGTTTTGTGCTTGAAAAAAAAAGTGCCAATTGGAATTTTGTTTATGTGGATCTTACAGATATTTATTTTAAGAGTTTCTTTCCCCGTATTTAATTTACAGTCTGTGTAGTAACATAATCAATTACAGCCTGCAGTGTTACGCTTCTAAAAAACAACTTCTGGTGTGCTTAGATTTAATCTTAACATGTATTTCTGAAAAACAAGCAGATATTCATGAATATATAAATCACCTGGCATGTTTCCAGTATTAGTTCAAGCCATCTGCTCTACACATCACTCAGCAGTGTTGAGACATCTGTTGAATGACAAAAGAAAATTATGTGCCATCAAAAGAGAAACACATTCCAGTTTAAAGGTTTTGAGAAATGTATATATTTTTTCTAAGCTTCAGCTTTTTGTTTCAGGCAGATTACCTCATTTGAAAAATATGCACACTCAGATGACGAAGTACTGATAATGATGGAGATGCAACACAGAATACAATCAAATGCTTTGTGTTGATTGCCTGCTGCATCTGTAGCATCATCCTGCAAGATAATTTGAGCAATTATACATGCAACTGATTTCCCATTGTTTGAAGGGTGTGACTTTTAGATCTGCAGATGAAGGCTACTGGTCTTGTCTTCAAAAGGTTGATAGTCATTGTCCCCAAAAATATGACAGGGACAATCAGTGATCTACAACTGATATATTTCACATCCACTTAGACAATTAACATAAAAGTGGATTTTCCAAAATAACTTAAAATTCAATAAAATGACATCATCCATTCATAGTGATTTGAACGGTTAGCAAAAATTTATCTGACATTTCCTCGAAAATGTCATATTTAAATGTTCTATGGATTAGATAAAGGTTGAAGACAGAGGCGGACGTAACCATTAGGCAATTGCCTTGGGCCCGAACTAACAAGTTACACAAGTAACTAGTGTCTCTGCAACCCCCTTATACAATGGACTATTCCATGAGCGCGTCCAAGTGATTCAGGGTGTAAACAGAGACTGACGAGAAGTGTTGAGCCAGTTCACACCTAAAAAGATCTAGTTCAGTTCATACATATGAAAATGAACTAGTTCACGTAAGTTTTTTCCGTTTTTATTGGGATTATTTAGATGATGATCATGTGTTTAGTTATTAATCGATGGTGTCGGATAATGAACCTGTGTCGCTCCGCTCACTTAAACACTGAGTCCTTTGTGTGTCGCCTCTCATGCTGTACTGAGCGCACACATTATGTGGATGACTCATTTTTCATGATGTTTAAATGCAGCCTCATAAACTCTGGAATCAAACAGACACTGAGTTACTTCATGTACTGATCAGGTCCTGATAACTACTGATGAGTGTTTATTAGTTATAGTGAGAGCAGCTCAGAGTGGAGGAGGAAACAGAAACTCCAGCTCCATACAAACCAAGTACAAAATGAGGCATAATGTTGGGAAAGTTAAATTAGTTACCGAAGTCTGGTCAGGTGCTACTTGGATGATGAACTGGTATGCAGGCATTGCACAATGTTGCAACACCAGTCTGGTCATGTCTCCGTCCTCTGTTACTGGTTCTGGAGGCAGAGTGAATCCATCTTCCATGCACTCATCTGACATGTTCAAAAGCTGTCAGGGAGGCGCATCTCAGTAAAAATGTATATCTGAACTTATTTGTCTCAAGTCAAGGTGCACACCCGCTTCAGGATGTGAATAAAGGGAATCAAAGAGGTTACAATACCATTACAATACAATGCTTACACAATTTGACAGAATAATGAAACTCCAATTCATATTCCAAACATTCAATTTCATTAGAAATGTGGCTTAAATAAGGTAAATCATCATCTGTTTAAATTAAAGTTTCCGGACATAGAAAACAGATTGCACATTTTTGAACAGCTCCTTCCCGAAATGTCAAGGCTGGGTATCTCATCTAAACCTGCTTATCCAAGAATTCTAAATGAAAATATCAATCCCTCCAAAATTCTGCTCAAGCATTTGTCTATAAAAGATCTTCTCTGTGCCACGATATTTTAGGAACAGTTAGGAATCATTTATGTACAGGTGTCAAGGTCACAAAAGACCAGGTGCCAGTGTAACCAGAGCAGTAAAATGAAGAGCTCACTGTTTAAATTGGGCTTAAGAAATTACTGCTACTTGTCTGTCTGTGATGTATGACAGGATAATTTAGGAACATACAGTTTAGCCAATCAGATTGCAAAGACAGCTACTCCGCCATTACAAGCAAGACACTCGACTTCAACCAGGAATGTGGTTTTAATATGAAATAAAAGCCTCTGCGTTGACAGATAAAAGAGAAAGTAAAGATAAAAAATAAAGTCATTTAATCTTTTGTATTTATCAGCTTCGGTTTTCAGATCTTGTCTTGGGACATTTGACAACCAAAATGTAATCATTTTATGTTTAGTCCAAGCAAATATTTCTGCCAAATTCCCTCATGTGGTTCCTGAGGTATTGCGTTCTTGATGCCTGAAGCATTTGTGAGGTTACAGTGACCTTTGACCACCAAAATCGAATCAGTTCATATTTGAGGCCAAGTGAACCTTAGCCTGAAACCAATTTTACTGTGTATTTTTTTTTTTACTTTTCTCTATCTTTTATTATTTCTGACATTGTGCTGCTGCAACACCTAAATTGCACAGCTCATATGATGAAACTGAAAGTTTTCAGTCTTCCTGAAAATCTTTAATATGCAGTTTATGGTGACTGTGTTTCACATACAAAAACGTAATTCACATATCCAAAGAATTACTCTGATATGCTGCCCAGCTCAAGCAGAAGCTATAAATTTACAAGTTTTTGTATCAATTTTAGAATTATTTAGCTTGACTGTAAAGCACTCCATAGTCTGTCACGAGTCTCAGTTGTTCCATAGAATAAAAACTTATGGGATAGTTTTAGTTTGGCGCCATTAGAAAATTCTGCCCAAGGATCTGAGAGCAGCTGATAGTGTTCATATCTTTAAAT